AGTGATTAAAATCACTATCAAAAATAAACGCTTCGATGCAAATCTTTAGATAGTGTTTAATTTAAAAAAAATTGGTGGATTATTCCAAAAGCTTCATAAAATGCTAGTTCCTTATTAATATAAAAAGGGTTTATTAAAAAATATTATTTCTCATAAAAAAATTGTGTGGATCCATAAACTTTTCAATAAAATATAGCATTATAAAGTTAAATATAATATGAATAATAAAATCGAGAATTTTCACACGAAATGAGCATTTGGTAGCCATTTTCGCCGTGAAGAAAAGTCCAGAGGTTAAATTTTTATTTTTCTAATTAAATTATATTACATTAGCTTTAATTTAAGATATATATAAAAGTGTCAGACCTTCCGGAACATTTTCAAAAGTTATGTTGAAAAAGTAAATTTTTTGTGAAAAAGTTGTCATTTTAAACCCCCCCCTGTGGGCAGGTTAAGTGTCAGATTTACAAAAAAAATATACCAAATGATAAGTAAAGACATCAAGCATCTATATAAAAAAAAATTATATTGATATGTTCATTTTTGAAAAAGTTAGAGCATTATTAAGTTAAAAATATAAAAAAAAATTATTTTACAAAAATCGTAATTTTTTATTAACTTTGATGTCAACTTTCACCACGAAGACAAGTCCAGAGGTCAAATTTTTTTTTTTCAAATTAAAGTATATTACATTAGCTTTAATTTAAGATATATATAAAAGTGTCAGACCTTACGGAACATTTTCAAAAGTTATGTTGAAAAAGTAAATTTTTTGTGAAAAATTTGTCATTTTAAACCCCCCCCTGTGGGCAGGTTAAGTGTCAGATTTACAAAAAAAATATACCAAATGATAAGTAAAGACATCAAGCATCTATATAAAAAAAAATTATATTGATATGTTCATTTTTGAAAAAGTTAGAGCATTATTAAGTTAAAAATATAAAAAAAAATTATTTTACAAAAATCGTAATTTTTTATTAACTTTGATGTCAACTTTCACCACGAAGACAAGTCCAGAGGTCAAATTTTTTTTTTTCAAATTAAAGTATATTACATTAGCTTTAATTTAAGATATATATAAAAGTGTCAGACCTTCCGGAACACTTTCAAAAGTTAAGTTGAAAAAGTTCTACTTTCTATATGCATTTTTTATATTTGAAGCACCCCCATATATAGGGAAATAGTCTGATTTAAAAAAAAAGTATATCCAATAAAAGATGTATATAAATACTACTTCTCATGAAAAAATTGTATTGATCCATACATTTTTTAAAAAGTTATAGCACTTTAAAGTAAAAAATGTAAATTATAAAATCGAAAATTTTCACACAAAAATAGCATTCGGTAGCCGTTTTCACCATGAAGACAAGTCCAGAGGTCAAATTTTTTTTTTTCAAATTAAAGTACATTACATTAGCTTTAATTTAAGATATATATAAAAGTTTCAGACCTTCCGCAACATTTTCAAAAGTTAAGTTGAAAAAGTTAATTTTTTGTGAAAAAGTTGTCATATTAAATCCCCCCTGTGGGCATGGTTAAGTGTCAGATTTACAAAAAAAATATACCAAATGATAGGTAAAGACATCAAGCATCTATAAAAAAAAAATTATATTGATATGTTCATTTTTGAAAAAGTTACGGCAGTTTTTAGTAAGAAATATTGAAAAAATTTCGAAAATTAGCGATTTTTAAATTTGTAATTTTTTTGGGGGTTTCCCCCATTTACGAGGAACGAGGGAAATTTTTTCAATTTTGAAGGGTAATGTCTTCGACTAGATACGATTTGTGATCTTTTGACGTATCGTTGAAAGAAATCCGTTCGGTGAGAGCTGAGAAAAAGTGGTAACAGACACAAAAAAAAAAAAAAAAACACATCATAGTAAAACCAATACTTTCTTAGCTTCGCATCGAAGCTAAAATCAAATAATGTTTATTATAAGATGATTAAATATTTATGTTTTCATTTAAAAAAATAGAGTCAACACCCCTGTAAAACAAAAGGGATGAACGAAAACATTATTTTATAATAGATAAATGGAAATACATATGTAACTAACTAAATCCAAAAAAAAAAAAAAGAATAAACAAAAAAGACATAATTATAAAAAAAATTGTCTAATTTCGTGTGCTGATAAATTTAATTTTAACTTAGATATTTTTAAATAATTATTAGATTAATTAAGTTCTGAATATTTAAATTGTAAAATCTTTTCAAACACCAAGAGTTATATAGAAATTATTATTATTGTTACTATTTAAATGTTTTATTATGATTAAAATACAAAACAAATAGTGATTTTAACGAAATTTTTAGCTTTTTTCATAAATATCTCAAAAAAGAGGTGGTAGAAATAATCTAATTGTAGATTTGATATCGGGGCAAAAATGGGGTTTGAAGAGTATATTATGGTCTCTAATGAAAATTCCTTGTAGACCAGTCAATTTATTCATAAAAAACAAAATTTTTTTTTTTTTGAAATATTGCATCAAGCACTATAATATGTATATACGTTGCCATAAAAGTAACAAAATAGAACATGAG